AAGAGTGTAAAAACTTAATTGGATTATCTTTTCCTCACATTTCAGAGAGTATATGTCCACGCAAATCGGTGAATAGCAGGAGAGAGTCCTGTGTTTCACCTTCCAGGCTGAAGCAGAACAGCAAACAAGATGACTGTACCAGGCTGTCTGTGTGCAAAGCTAACAATCCTGACTCGGTTGATTTGAGGTGTGGATCCATTTAGCCCATGTTATCCTCAGTCACACAACTTAATATTAGTGAAGAGAGACATTAGTGGAATGTTGCAACATTTTATGGCGTTATAACTCCATCTTTTTCCTTTCCCCAACAAAGATTTTTACAAAAAAACACTTTATAACTGCCCATAGATTTATTTTTTTTTTTCTGTTAATGGCAGCATTTGTCAACTAAATAAAATGAGGGGTTTTGCACAGCTGGATATGCTGCTGTTGTCTGCTGTAGTCCTACTGACTCTGGTAAAAGTTTCTATGCAAGGAGAAACAGGAAATTTGCAGATTCCTTTGCCCCTGCTAAACTAATTGCTATAACTAGAGCTGTAATTCTCTGTCAATAGAGGAGCTTATCTGTGACAGATGGCTGTGTGTATCAGCATAACTTTTCTCTCCACATCTTTTCAGTAGAATCTGAAATGTTAGCATCTGTGAGGCAAGTTCTTCAAAATATGAAGATTGATAGGGGAATGTCTCTATCAAGCATGGCTGAGAACAGAACTTTGGCATGTGGCAAAAATTTAAAAAATGGAGAGCTCTACGTGAAGAGAGGAGGTAACATGTAGGCCGGAGACCAAGAGGAGAGACTGAAGGACAGGCAAATGGAAAGTGAACATGCAATTCCTTGACTTGTGTAGCAGACAGAATCTACGTGTATGAATGGCATTGATAACGTGGAAGAGCTTCTGCCTGGAGAAACTTGGTATGGGAAGAGGTGATAGGAGCCACCAAAATGAAGAAGCAGTAGTAGTACGGGGAGTTTGTGGAGGGAATGGAGAAGAAAAGTAAGGCGGCTTTGGCGAGTACAGGCACAGCCTACAGAATCACTACAGTACCAGCCTTCCTACCGTAGTGATGCTTACCAGTAAACCTCGGGTAAGCCAAAGTTGGCGCTGGTTGACGTTGCTTTAGCCTGCTGAGTTAGGAGGGGTACGAGGGCTCCGCCTGTAAGCTATGCATCCAGCCTGTTCTCAGTCGAGAACTCCTGGGGAGAGAGGAAGCACTCGCTGGGAGCTGGAGGGTTTCCTGCTGGAGGTGGGAGGCTTGGTCCAGGACCTGGAAGAGGTCTGGGCACGGCTTACTTGCTGCTTGGTTCTGGACCTGAGCCCCCTGTCAAGCACTGCTCTAGTACGTGCAGTGCTGGATAAGTGGTGACAGATGTTTTTAAAAATACCAAGTTTAAAATTGTCAGGTACATTTTCGGTACCATGAGTAAATAATTAGAGGCAAGTAAAGTTTACATAAATTGTAGCTGGTGAGTCGCTTATTTGATCTCCTGTTTTCAGCATAGATTGGCATTGTCTTGGCTGCAATGAAAAACCTTGTTTGTCTTACTTGTTAGAAAATCTTGGATGGTTCCTACACAGTCTTTTTGGCTTATTTATAGTGTCTTTGCAAGAACATTAGTTTATCTTGCTTAGGAAGGGATGATCTAAATTGTATAAAAGAAAAGGTCTGTTATATTGTAGGAGTGAGCCTTTAATGAGTACAGATTGTGGGATTTTATGGCACCCCCTTTATGTTGTCTGAGTAACAAATTCTGCCCTGAGGTTTTACAACAGAAATTAGATTATGAACAATACATGACAAAATTGAAGAGAGCTGTGTTTGTAGGATTTTTTCCCTCTTTTTCCTCTGAAAGAAGACTAACATAATGACTGTGTGACTGAAAATAATGAAACTTGCTTTTGGCTTTTCTTATTCTTTCTTCCTCTTCCACTTTCCAATTTGGTCTTTACATCTTTCTGAGGCTGTTGTGTTGCTTGCTGTGATTTGCATTAGTTTTAGAAGCACTTTTTACTGTGTATTAGGAGCTGCAACTGCTCTTGCATTTGTCTTCATCATGCTATTGGGAGAAAATAAAACTTTGTACTGTAAAGTTTAGAAATTTTGTGTAATCTTGCAGTCTAAAACTATCCTGCTCTGTCAGACCTGGCTCTGTAGGATCCTTTTAGTGGCAGTTTAATCAGCACCTCAGAACTTGCTTAGAAGAATCAGTGAAATCTGCTTCCTTGAGAAAATCTTACAGTTGTTTCTGTACCTACCAATGCATCAGCTATTTCTTGGGTTTTGTTTTGTATTTTTAAAAGGTTGTATTCCCAGGAAGGAATTATAAAAGCTGCATCTGTCAGAATATGGGCTAGATCAGTGTTTCTTCAAAGTAGTTACACTTTTTGCTTGCTGTTTTTAAAACATCTTTATTGTTTTTACTTTTTAAATCACAGTAATGAAGAGTATCTTGGGTATTTTAATTAAACAGGGTTTATTTGAAAGACTATATGCCAAAAGCTATTTGATTGAAGTTATCTCATCTTATTCAGCTGTTTTGTGTATTAAAGAATGTGCTACGATTGATTACTTTTATTTGCATTTTGATGCACAAAGTATTGCCAGGGGATTGCAGTGCATTAGGCTGTATAAACATACCACAGGGACAGACTTCATACTCTCAAATTAAAAAAAAAATTAAATGGTTTTCTTCCAAAAATTTCAAATAATTGGACTTTGGCTTAGCTGTGTTTTATTTTCCCACCCCGATAGTCAGGAATATTTACTAATTGCAAAATATCTTCCAGGCATTGTTCCCTCTTCTGTTGTTCTGACTGCTTTCCAAGTGATGTCAAGGGTTTTCCTGACGTGGGCAGTAACGCATAGTGTAAAAGAGGTAAGTTAAGCTATAAAATAGATAGAAAAACTAATGACCCATGGTGAAAAGCAAGTGTTGATCGCTGTCTTATTTTCCTTAAAATGACTTCTGTTTGTATCCCAGTGTCAAATTGTTTATGTGAATTTCTGTGAATCAAAATAAATAAAAATACATCTGAAATCATCTTTTCTTGACAATCAAATAGACTGAGGTCTGATTCTCTCGCTGTAAGACATCTAGCTCCTGAATAGATTTTGCAGTCCTTACTGAAAGTTAGAGGTTCTGATGTGTGATACGGAACGCAGAATTTGGGACAGTGTTCTAGCATTGATCTCACTAGTGCCATAATTAATCGCAAAATCTCCTCACTGTCCCCTCTTTCATCCACAATTTGCTTTCTTTACCATGGGATGTGGAAGCTCCCCCTCAACTGTTTGTGCACAGCAATGCCTGGATGTTCTCTGTTACCACTTTCCAGGATAATCTTCCCTGTGTCCCTCATTCATTTTTTCTTACATTCAAGCGTAGGTGTGTTTTTGGGCCTGCGTGTATTTTCTCATTGCTTACCACACCAAATATTGCTGTACTTTATACAAATCTCTGCAGAATCTTTTGGAAGCAATCTTGTTTGAAAATTATTCCTGATAGTTATTTTAAAATCTCAACATGCTTTAATTGATACCGATCATGCTGACTGGCTCTTTCATGTCATCTGAATACCTTGTAGTAGCCCAGATATGCCGCATCTGTGCCGTTACTTTAGCCAACCAATCTTACTGGTTTTCTTCTTATTAAAGAAAGAAATTAAGTCTTGATGCCAGTGTCGGCATGGCTGCCTGAAATAACTGATGGTCATCTAGTGTCATTATATGCATAAGATCTTTTGTGACTTGACATGGAAAATGTCTTAAGGAGCTTGTCTCATTATCAAAGTCTTCAGGGAAGCTGCTTTCTCTTCCTTACTCCAAACCTGTTATCAGAGCGTCCATCCACATGTAGAGTAGCATAAGTCACTGTAGTTCCTAATAAATAACAGCCCTTTCTGATACTATGGTGCTTGTTCATGTGGAGCCTTAGTTTCATGCTACTTTAAAGTGGAGGAATGTTATTTTTCTCAATAAACTCAAAATCTTGTAAATACTTATCTTCTGTAAGGATTTCACTTTTGGTGCAAATAAATGTACTCCAGTCTCTGTTAATTCACGGGAGATAAATACTAGATTCTGACCAAAAAAAAGCTGTAATCCCAAGACATTAGATTTCAGATACATGTATAAAATATTTTTAAAGAAATATGCCTGTAGTTTTGCTTGTTACTTGTATAATGTTGGGGTACGTGGTGCTTCATAAAGAACAGTGATAACCTGTTTTTATGAATTGCCTCCTGATTTTGAAGTAAGCCAAATGTTAAAGGTTGGATTGCATGGATTAGAATTATTCCATGTGTTGTCTGTTAGACATCAAAGGGAAGTCTGTAAAATGATTGTGGGTTAGGTTTTTTGAAACTTATGCCCACATTCTCACCAGAGAAAACCAGCAAAATCGAAGAAAATGCGAGCAACGAGTTCAGCCTAACATTCAATTTTTAACAGGATTTTTTTAACGAGGATTCTTTCAACAATACTACACGCCGTTTTTTCCTCACATTTGTGTGGTCTTTCGGTTAAAGTCTTGTGAGAGACTGTATTCTGTGTTACTTTCTTTTAATGTCTTAGAAAGCGGGCATAAGAATGGTGAGGATGAGGAATCCTGTGATGAGTTTTTCACCTGTGACTTAGAACAAATATATCAACTGAAGAGGCTGTATTCTGACCCTTCCCCTTCCCCCCAACCAGAGAGCATGCAGTCTCACCTGGGGAGACGTACTGAAAGTGTCACGAGTGTTCTACTTTTTCTAAAGGCTGTCTGCACAAGTGAGCTTCATGGTGAAGTCCAGGAATAAATTCTCACACAGCTTTATGGAACTTGTAAGCTATGCAGTTGCATGATGAGGTTCTTGTAAAATAAAATGCAGTTTTCCTCTTTAACTTCTTGAGTGAGACTTGTTCTTGCTTTTCCAGACTGTTTTCATATGTAATACAGTTAAAAGAAGAAACATCTGTATTGCATCCCTCCTTTCTGTCAGAATACACTTCTAGATATGTGATGTGATTTGACGCATGCTTGTTGCCACTAACGTGTTTGTGCTTTTTGTTGAATTTAGTGCTGATGTGTTGTTAAATTCAATATGGAAGTATTTATAATAAATGTTAAAGCATGGCAAATGTTAAAGCACTGCACACTTCTTTGGGTAGCAATGAGATTCCCCTTACCTCCACCACATGAGTAGCTGTTAGCTTAGTGGAGGAGGGCCTGGCATGTAATACAGTACTTGTAATCATTCTGTCATTACATCAGAAAGGAATCGGTTTGGTGAATTTTACTGTTTCCCCTACAAAGGAGGGAAGAGAATGAGCAGACTGGTGTGAAGGGCTAGAAGAAAGTAGGCATAGGAGAACAGAAGGTGGTCTTCAGTTCCAAGTCGTCTTTTTGAATTTGTGTGAACAATGAGATCATCTGGTGACATCATGGCAGGCCTTCATGGAGTTCTGTTCTGATGGATTAATTCTGCACCCAATTCTGATGGGTAATTAAAAAATGGTGTCAGCAGTGATTTAATGCTTATCCAGTTGGGTGCAGTTACAGATAAGTTGCAGATAAATATAGTATATATTTAGAGGAAGCTTTTTAGAACAGTCAAAAGGGGTGGTGCGAAGATGACATGTATGGCATATTGAGCTGGTAATTAAGACTGCTGTATCAGTGTTGTGAACCGACACCTTCAATCAGTAGTAAAGCATAATTATAGAGGGAAGAGCATCTTAATTTATGATATTTAAGACTAAGTTGTAGTAAAACAAGTCCACGCTGGAAAGTTCAGAACTCTAAATGGGTGAGTGCAGTTGAAAAGCCTGATTCATCACTGCTTTACATCTATGTAAAATCTGAGTAATACTGTATAACACAAATGTCTGTCAGGCCCTTTTTACCTACTGTGAAGGGAGATGTGCTGTTCCATCATTACAGTTGCGTAGTGCTGTTGGTTTTGCTCTTCTGCACTGGATTGCTTAATTATGCTTTTAGATGAATTTTTCTGCAAATAATTTGTCAAACTGTTACTCTTAACGTGGGGAAATCTATAGAATTTCCCTTTTCACACATAAGGAGAACAGTAAACACCTCTCAGGCTTTATTTTGTCAATTCCCAGTTCTCATCTTTGCATCTTAAAAGGCTATGGATTCTCTTACATTTTAACAAACATTGTCTGCTGTTCATAGTATTGAAGATAAGCTAAAATATAGTTAGGACCCTCCTTGATGATAAATTGGTTTGAAACGTATGCCAAAAAACTATGCCCGTGGTATGATCGACCTTATTAAGGCAGTTGGACAAATGAGTTGTAAATAAAGTGTAAAATGTGCTTTGACTTTGTTTAACGCCTCCTTCAAAGACTGGCGTGAAAAAGTAGGGGAAGAGAAATTGAGTTCTGAGGGCAGCATTGGGCTTTGTGGTTTATTAAGGGTCTACTGTTTGTTGGCTCTACTATCCCCCTTATCCTCAGCCTGGAAGAGGAATGATACAAATGCAGCATTAGCAGTGCCTAAACGAATAAGACTCGAGAGACTGTTTTGTAAATCAGTTCCCAGGGGTTTGATAATGTGCATCTCAGACATGTTTATGTGAAGTATTGAAAAATTGTCAGTCCTCAAAGAGATGTTCTAGTGTGACAGACTTCTGACAGATCTGTTAGTGTGTAAGAAACATACTTTTTAATGATGAGCTGTGCAATGTAGTTAAAATATGATGATAAAATGCAGAGTAGTCTTCTGTTCCTTACTGCACAGAATGGAACTATTTACAAACTGTATAGGTCACTTTTGTATGAAAACTACCACCAATTTCCAGTATTCTTTCTTCCTTAAATAGAATTACAAGCTATAAAAGCACAATCAGTGATTCTTTAAGTGGCCTTAACAGGGTTTTGTGTGTGTGTGTTTTATAATGGTGTGAACTGTTTTAATAATGTCTAAACACAGTTCTAACATTAAAGTAGATGGGAAAGACTAGACCTGAGAAGGCAGTTACAGAAGTCTTGTGATAGAAATGGATTCTAACTGCCAGATTTTCTACTTCTGTGTGTATCATTCACTGTTAGCTTCACATTTTCTTGTCCTTGCTCATGTCCTTGGGTGCTACTTCAAGCTATAAATTTTTGATTGTTGGTTTTACTGACTTCCATAGTTAGGGAAAGTGGGGTTTCAGAGTACAGGTTGAAGGCTGTGGCACATAGGTTTAGATGAACTCATTGAGCTGCTACTCCTGATTTGACCAGAAGATGCAGCTCAGGAGTGCTTGTGAAGCATGCTGCTCCTTCGGAACAGCATTATCTGTGAAGTGCTGTTAACTTTTCCAGGTTGAGAACTAAGTCTTGCTTGTAAAGCAAATTCCAAACAAGATTAGGATCCTGTAGCAAAGTGAAAATAGATTTTGTTTCTTCTCTGAAAATTTTCAAATAAGTTTTGAATTTTGTTCTTTCTTGATGATGTAAGGGAGATTAGTATATAAGCAAATTATCGGAGTTTCATATGGGAAAAGGACAAAGTGCATTTGCTGCAAAATGCAATGAAAGTGACTTGAAATGCTGTACGCGGCAGAATATAGATTAACAGCAGCTCTACATTCCAGGATATCCCAAGATTTCTGTATAAATCTTTCTGGGTTTTATAGTCTGTAACAGGAAGCTTTTCATGGGTAATCCTCATGAGTGTTTTTACATGCAAATATATGATCACTTCCCTCCTATTAAAAGGTTCTGATTGCCCATATATTTTCTTGTTCCTTTTTTTGTTTGTACGTGTACTTTGCCCGAATAGAGTGTACCACCCACACCTACAGACTACCTCTTCCCTTTTTTCAAGAGCTGGAGGAAAAAAGAAAATGCAGGCCCCTGTGGTTGAGCTCTTTTTGTTCCCACGGTCTGCTGAATTTGGGCTCAAGGTACTCATACAGCTGAGAATTCTGTTGAAGGAGGGGGAGGGCTGCATAAAAATCATGTTTGCGCTCTCAAAAGTTTGTAGCCTGGGTACGTGACCCCATATACTTCTTCATCAGTGTTATTCCATCTGAAACTTAAACCTCGCAATTATGTTTCCAAATCTAATAAATCTAATAATTAATTTTAAAATACATGGTTTTGAAGATTAACCTTCAAAATATGAAGGGAGTAAAAGCTGGTTCAGTGATATGTGTCTGAAATAAAAGCTCTAAGAGGTGTAAAGCTGTGAAACATAATGCCTTGAGTGTAACATTAGAGGAACTGTGCCGGATACATTAAGCACAAAAAGGAGCAAGGAACAGTGAAGCAGGTAGTTGTTAAGCTTACCTGAAGTGAGACAACCTGAGCTTCTGTTTCTTCTCTCCTCCCAGCCTGTGTCCTGGTGTTAGCTGTTTTGCTGCTGCTCAAAATTAGGACCCAGTTTCTCATCTGTAGAGAGAGGAAAACAGTGCTTCTACTCACAGGTAGCACAGACTAGGATTGGAATATAAAGTCTAAACCAAATATCAAGTTAGACTAATGTGTTAGCATTCTTTCTGCTTGCTGCACTAGGAAGCAATCATAGGACTGAAATAGGAGCTGGTACTGTATAGGAATGGGAAGAGTTATGAGTTGATCTCAGCATTTCAGGGATTTCTTGTACTAATTTACCTTGCATAGAATGGGAGATCTTAAGTTCTCTGATCACCAAGCAGAGCTGTTCTTAAGGAACTAGAAAAACATGGAGCATGATAAGAAGGGGGTCTTTTTCTGTTGTTACTAATGTCGCTTTTAAGCTCATTCTTGGAGTGTGTTCTCTAAAATGATGCAGTAAAGCAATGTGTGGGAATTGATTTCTTTGAGGTTTTCTTGGGTCTGGTGATTAATTAGTAACACTTGAATTCATATTGAGCATTTTTTCTTTCTTACAGGTACAAACTGAAGATAGTGTCCTGTTGTTTGTGGTGGCCTGGACAATCACTGAGATAATCCGTTATTCTTTTTATACGTTTAGCTTGTTAAACCATCTCCCTTATCTCATCAAATGGGCCAGGTAGGTGGCGTAATACAAGTCACAGCCTTAAAGCACTGATTTGATGGGGTATTTACCTTGTAAAATAGTTGCAGTACAAAAATTTAGATTCTACCTAGAGGTAATTGCCCTGTTTGTGAATGTAACTTCCTAGCTTCTTTCCAGCAGATTTCTGGGTTAAAAAAATCTATTACATTGTAAGGTGAGAGAGTAGTTTGTCAGAACTGTCTCATTTACAAAGTGATTGTGTTTATCAGAAACTGACATTTAACAGTAACCCTTGAATCCAGGGGTTGCATTTGAAACAGTCTGTAAGCTTATTGATTAATATCAACTGTGTTTGACCCCATTTAAAGTAATATAATGACCTCTGCCAAAGAGTTCAGAAATCAAAGTAACAAAGGGGGAGGGGGGATGGGGAAGAATAATTTTTTAAAGATACCTTTCAGATTCTCCAAAGTAATCTTTAAATAATTCAAACTGCTGGTTTGAGTACTTATCTTGCAATAAAGTTCACACCTTGCCATGTTCTAATCAAATAAGAGCTAAGGGAAATAGAGTTGGGAATTTAAAATTTGAATACCCATAATAGCATTTAACAAATACTTTGTCAGTTTGTTGTAACTTTTAATCCTTTCCGTAAATGTTTTCTTCTAGGTACACTTTGTTTATAGTATTGTATCCAATGGGAGTCTCAGGCGAATTACTCACAATATATGCTGCATTACCCTTCGTCAGGCAGTCCGGCTTGTATTCCATTAGTTTACCTAACAAGTACAATTTTTCTTTTGACTACTATACATTCCTGATCCTGGTTATGATCTCTTACATTCCAAGTAAGTATGAGTTTATTAGGTTTTTTTTTTTTAATATTTAAAATATAATATAATATTAAATTAAATTTAATATTAAAAGCTGTAACAGGAAAAACTAATAATTGTGGGATTAACATACATACAACTAACTAATTTTGCAAAATTAATTTTGACAATTATCTAAAGAAAAAAAAAGAGTTAAAACTGTAGAGATTGCTTTCTACCAACACCTGCAAAACAGTAGTATATGTTTTTTCTCTTACACTTGGAATATTAAATAACTGTGGTACTTTTTGGGAAAAGTTGATGTCTTCATATTTTTTCCCCACACTTACAGACTTCTGGGAGAACAAAGTTCAAAACAGCTTCTAAAAATCTAGTTCTTTATCAGGAATAAGAATGTTGCTTTTGCATTAGTGGGTAGGGAACCATTTCTGAATTAACATGAATTGACAATCTCTGGTTGATGTTTCTATAGATGGAATGAAGATTTGGTTTTGCTGCTTTGAAATGGGGAATAGGAACACAAAAGCCTTTAGCAAGTTTAAATGTGCAAATAAAGTCTAACATGCAGAATAATGTAGTGATGATGTTGCTGCTGTTAGCTATCTCTGCAGCTGTCTTTATATGAACCTTGTTGTTTGTGCAGAATGATAAACCATATTCAAAGTTTAAATTTGAGTAGTGTGGCTGTCTCTATAACAAGCACTTACACTTTCAGTGAACCATCTTGTAATTCTGACATCAAGGCTCGTAAGTTTTTTCCAGCTGTTCTTAAAAAAAAAACCAAACACTTTTCATGCATTTATTTCTTCTTGTCCCTCTCCTCCAAAAATGGTGATGTTACTAAGTCCAAGCAGCCAGAATAATATCTTTTGTTTTAGTCAAAATAACCATGAGTATTAATTACTTCTTGTGCAGTAGCTAGGTCACAGTTGACAGGCCATGTGGAAGAGAACACACATCGAACCCAAATAACAATTTTAACGTGCTTTCTCCATTAAAATTGCTGTCTGTTAAATGAGATATTTTCTGTGATCCGTTATCATTTGCTGGATGCCTAACTTGAATGCAGTCTTTTTTAAACTTTTAAAATTATTTTTTATAATAACTATTGTGAGTTGGTACATTAACTCTGAGAACCAACTGCTAAGCAGTCTTAGGTGCCTTTTCACATGAAGTTTTTCCTGTGGTGTTCCTGAGATACAAGAAAAGCAATGTTCATTGCAGTCATGGATTGCACCATAGTTCGGTTGTTCATCCATAAAAGCTACCTATGCAGGAGTTAAGCCTTCTGAACCCACTGAAGATCTTGGAAATTTTGGGAATGTTAATATCACAAGGAAAGCAAGCTTTGAAAACTTGTTAAAAACTGAGTTTTTACATTCTTGATAGTTGCATCTTACCATTTACCTCACTTTAAATCTAGAATTTAGTATTTGTCAAAATTGACATCTTGCTAGAAAAGATGTCATTAAATTCTGTGCATATAATGGATTCCCATAACTTAGAGTTCTAATGGAGAAACCACATGGCTCTGTATTCTGTTAGGTCTCTGGACAGCTGTATTCACTCTTTAACACTGGTGGAGTGAATCGGGATGGGGGGAAACAGTCAGGAAATGTAATACAGGGTAAAGAAAGCCAAAAGAAAAAATGCTGACCAGAAAAAAAAAAATGTAGTACACAATTTAAATAGACCATGGCCTACGTTTATGACAAACACTTTGCATGTGTAACTGATAAAATTTAGGCTGATGTTGACCTTGTTTAATTTTCATACAGTTTACAAAGGTTTAGTGTCTTGTGACAATTTTAGCTTTTGCTGTTTATGTATGTATGTTTTCCATCCCCTACTTTGTTGTTCTGCAAACATACTGTGTAATGTGGTCTTAGCAATAGGAGGAGAAAAAGCTTTGCATGGACCATAAAGAGAGAAGAGATGAAAGAGTCACCAGTTTGTATAAAGTTCCTTAGACCCTGAAAAAGCAACACTAGAATTATAAGAAATGAAACAAATCTGGAAATTTCATTCTTTCAGAAGGATTTTTTTCCTCCCTGCAATGTGTTTTCTTCTTATCGTGTGTGTGTAGTTCAGGAAACTTTTGTCATCCTGCCGGTACATGCAGAGTTAAATAAGGCATTTTGCATTTAATTAAAAATGTGATCACTCTAGCAAAAAATAAATAGTACCTGAACCCTAAGGACAATATCAGTTACTCTCTTTAAAGAATAAAAGGCAATAGATGAGCGGAAAGCGGATAAGCATGTTTTCTTTTAATAGAGAATTGATGACTTTGAGCATGTGACTGCATCTTACATTGACATGTAAGCCTCACTTCAAACTTTATTTACTTAAGTCTGTTTTCTCTTCAGTCTTTCCTCAGCTGTATTTTCATATGCTACATCAGAGGCGAAAGGTACTCTCCCACACTGAAGAACACAAGAAGTCGGAGTAATTCCAACTCTTTTTCAGAACTTTTCAAACATCAAAATGCTGCAGATTTTCAATACCCAGCACGTTTATAAAGAATGTACCAGGATAAAATAAGTCAGAGGTAAAAGACCAATAATTTAGCAAGAATAACCAATAAATCTGATTTCACTGAAATTCCACAATGTAAAACATTGAAATAATTTTCAGCTTGCAGTGCTTCAGAAAACTTTTAAACTTTATATGGCTTGGCAGTTAGCCTTTTCCTTTTCCTTGAATGATGTGCTAAATGGTTTTCATTTATTACTAAATGCCTGAAGGTTGCAGAATGAGTGATGAAGTTGTACCCACTAAATGCTTGAATTGGGATTATATTACTGATACCTCTTTTTTTTAAATGCTTGACTGCATGCCAGAAACTGTATGTGTTGCTGTGAAAGCAAACAATATGCTCTGGAATACTTTAGGATTTTGTCAGAGGCTCCAGTGGACAGTGTAATCCGGGCAGTGTTTGAATTTAGAAAGGTAGGTCGTGGATTTAAAAGGTGATGGGAACAAGAACAGGAAACCAAGTATGGGAAATGAGGAGAATGTGGTTCTTTAGGAATTTAAACAGTAGGGTGTCTGACCAGAGCGTGTTCTCTGAAGATATTGCTTAAGCTGATTACTCAAATGCTAATGTTAATTCAGAGGCTATAATGCTTATCTGAAACATTAAAACTCCTCTAAGTACTGCATCCCTGGATACTTTTTTTTAAATATTTAAAAAAAAATTAACTGTAATATTTCTAGTGATATCAGTAATGAATCTGAACAATATAAGGAGGCAGGTCACCCAGGAACAGGTGCAGTTCTCCCTTTTTTTACTTCAAATTATCATCTCTAATCACTGTCCACTATCTCGGTGGTACTCGTCTTTCAGTGTTGAGGACTATTTGGTCTACTGTGGAATCATTTGAGGGCCTTATTCCTCAACCTAACTTTTCTCAAGTGACTAATGCGTATCACTCTGGCATATCCAAGCAGGCAGTTCCAGGCACTCAGCTACTGAAATGTTGCAAAGTCATAAGCTCCTTCTTTGAAAGCAGATTATCTCATGTGTTACGTGCTGCTTTTGCAGATTGGACAAGCCTTCCCTCATCTGCTCTTTTGAAAGAGCAGAAGACCATAGAAAGTTAAATTTTCCGAGGTGCTTTCTTTGGGTTCTCAGGCTAAGCCTTCCCTTGGGAAGGTAAAACAGGAGATGAAAGAACTGAGAAAACCTTGTGGCAAGGCAGAATGCACTAATGCTGTGTGAGCAGTGCCCCAAGTTATGAACAAACTGTGGATTGGGGGCAGAGGGGGGAGGAATGGAAGGGACAAAGGGAGCAGGGAAATGAACAGATATCCAAGCAAAGGCAAAAGGAAATGTAGGTTGTGGTCTTTGCTCTGTTAGGAATTGGTAGTCGAATAGTTGTGTCTTCACCCGGTCAGAGCCGCTAGACAACAACACAAGGGCTTCTCTGGCTTCCTTTGTGTAACATCATGATTTAGTGCATAAATGAGGTGTGACCACTACCATGGTACCTGCAATACTAGTCTCCTGCTGTGCCTGCCAGCACCTCCCCCTGGATGTGGCCCATATCTGTGTCCCAGTTACTTGTGCTTGACGCATCGCAGCTCTCCCTAAACATAGCCAGTAAGTACTAAGGGCACAGGTTCTCTGTTCTTGCACTTGGAGAGCTGGATTTACAATTATTTTCGTTTGTTTGTCAGAGCTATATTTAAAAAACAAACAAACAAACCTTTGCATTCTTCAGTAATTTTCTTTGGCTACATCAAAAAGTCTGACTGAATTTTCCTAGTGTTCAGTGTAGTGTATACACCTATATACAGGTGTATAACACCTTTCCTGTTCAACACAAACAGAACGGTTGTAAACAGGGAGAGGGTAAGAGACAATAATGATATTTGCTTCTATTTCAGAGCTTTTCAAGACAGTTATTGGCTGTCATCAAAAACGCTATGGTCATGTACAACCTCAAAGTGGTTTTGCATTCAAAGATGCAACAATTTCAATTCATTTCTCCATTAGGTTATGTGGTGCTTTGTAGTGATCTGAGAAATGTTGCATTATATTGAACTCATTGTTCAAAAATATAAACTTCCACATCTGAACAAAACATCTCCTTTTGCTTATACTTGCTATCAGAGGAGTTAGTGTCAGTATTTCTGAAGGATGTAATCTAAAAGAATTGATTTCCTGATGTACTCAGGTTACTGGATATTGTCGATGCTCAGCTCCTGAACTTTTCTTGGTTCGATTTCTGTGCCGAAGTAAAAGATTTGGTTTCAAAGTTGTTGGTCCAGTTTGGAGGAAAAAAAATGGCTGTGTAATATTCCTATATGAAACAAACTCATAACTCTGTTGATGAGAAAGATGTAGTACAGATCTGTATTAGATAGCATTGGCACTACGGCAAAGCAGAGAGAGCTGCCAGTAGAGAGGAGGCTTGTACAACCAACGTCTTTACTGAATAAGCTTTGTTATGGAATATTTACTTTAATTGAAAATATTAATTTACCATACACATGCAAATAAACTACAGCCTTTTAAAAGAAAATGGAGTTACTTTTGCTTTTAAAAGAAAAAGAAATTGCTTTGATAGTAAGAAATCTTATCAGCAAAGTTGATTTAAAAACTTATATTCTGAAGTATGAACATGCAGTTAATATGTACAAGAATTCCAGCACTTCAGCTTGCAGTGCTTTTTCAAGTTTAGCTTCCATGGAAATCACTGGAAGGTAATCTTGACTAAGAACTGTGGTGCGATGCCCTAATACTGTTTGGGTTTTTCCCTAACACTGACTTTGGTCACATGTATGGGTTTTTTCCTCCTCGTAAAATAAGAACAAACTTTCCCTCATCTGTCACTGAAAATGTAATGTGGTTTATGTGAACTTTATAATAGAAGCTTTGGTTAGTACTCTTTGTCACAAATCTAGAGGGTTGGGTTTGTTTTCCCACAGACTACTTATTTGGCTTGCATTTTTTCCGTCAGCATCACCAAACTTCTGCAGCAGGCCTGTTTTCTGCTTTGGTAGTCTTTATGTTGTGTGCACTGGTTCAGTCGACAATACTGTACGTTCTACCATGCCGGCTTTGTCCGAGTTAGTCATTAGCCTCTAAAGACCAAGGTTTTTACCGGTGTATAGTTTACAGCTGGAATTGTAGAAATGTTCATATTGTAAATTACAGTAAGATGCAGGTTACAGTGCAGGTAAATTGTAATTTTTCACAATGTGACGTTTCTATTAAAGTTGGAGTTTTTTTTATTTATCAGTAGAAAGGTTGGCATTTGTGTGGACCAATCTGTAGTGTCATCTTAAAACCTGTCTTTCTGCTTAAAATTTTCATGAGTATACACCAAATCATACATTTTGGTGTATATTTATGTCAGTGAAATTTGGGTGAAGACTATATACAGTCATTTTTGTATTTTTTTCTATGTTGTGAAGAATAAAATTGTAATTTTATAAGTCTGATTCACTAAGATTATTATAAGTTAAATGTATTTTTTGTATATTTAGGAATCTGGTATTACCTGGAGCTCTGAAAGAATAAGCATAGACTTTTTATGCATGTTTGGAAGGTATTTCTACTTGATAATGCAGTGAAATGGTTTGTATGCTAAAACACTAGTCTGTGTTGTTGCCTTGTGAAATTGATTCTGTGCTCTCTGCCTGGATTTGGCCTACTGATCAGTGATACTAATTGCTATAATCCAAATAAAATAATTCTGAACAAAACATGTTGTATTGTTACTGTTTAAGGAACAAAAGCAGATCCTTCATAAATATGAATTAGGGCTGTATTTTTATTCATTTGTATATAATATGTACCTTGCAATTTACAAGATTTTTTGGCATACCTAACTTCGAGCTCAAACAAAAGAATTGAGCAACTTGATACTGTTACAAATGCTCTGCTTTTCACTTTTAAAAGAGGTATTTATAACAGTGTATTAACTGACTATGTTAACATTCAAACTTAAAACTTCCTGAAGTAGAATGCAAGCTCTTTGTTCTCCTGTTGTTATCTGTACTCTAGATGGTGGTGGTTTTCTCCAAAAACAAAATCGTTTGAGTATTATATAGTGGAATGCTTAACTAATGCCACAGAATACTTCAGAGTTCATTTACTAAATATAGTATGTCTGCTACCACGGCAACGTTCTTAGCATTTTTAACACTTCCTGAGAGAGATTTAAATACTGTGTCTAGATGCTGTTAATGCTCATAAATAACAAGTTACAATCCTCTAATAGGAACTGAGGAGTAGTTGCAGAGTTAGTGCTGTTATTCTAGGCATATGTTTGTCATAAGATAGCACAACTACAGTGATTTTTTTGTTTAATTGCAGACGAGATGAAATAATGTTGTCATGCCCAGCATCAGCACAAGTCCTACGCATGATAGCTGTGACTTACCACTACTGTGTAATTAAAAACTTCTCTTTGAAATGTTATGCTGTGAAGAGTGGTGCTGAGCTCCATTTGTGCCTTAGAACAACTATTACTGGTTGTTTGTGTTTCCTCTTTGCATTTTGAAAACAGTATGTGTGGAAACAATTTTAGCTACCTAGGGTAACATTAAAAAGTCTGAAAAGCATAAGGATTCCGTGTTTGTGAGTAAATTAATTTCACAATAGTATTTAAGGCTTATCTTAAATAAAGCATTGGTAGTTCTTGACATAAGACTCGAGGAAGGATCTGTGCTGGTGTGCTGAGTATAAAATAAAAAGGTGTGAATGTCTGTGTGATTCAGTTTCATTTGGTATGGACTCAGCATTTCTAGAGTTGGGATTGATTGATTCAAGCCACCTGACTGCCTAGAACTTCCATTCAATATCAAGTGGCTTTTAAATTTTGCTTCCCATCTCCTAAACAAATACTCTTCCACACTTGTTAGAAAACTTTTAATATTGTAGTGAGAGAATTAATAAAGCTTCTGTGGTGGTTTCTGAAGGCTACCTTGAAGCAGTTGGAATTAAAAATGTGGATGGACAATTTAAAACTCTTTTAATACTGTTGGTCACTGATTTCCAGAACAATACTGTCCTTTGCAGATGTGAAAGATCCTAAAGCCCTTTTTATGTCTTCACAAATTAGCTGGGCATTAGCGTCGTCAGAAGTGTTTTTCTCTTTGATGTGCTGACATTCGTAACGTGCTAATATTGGGGAAAGAGATGTTACTGTCAATATTATATCTTAATTTTTCTAGTGTTTTAAGTAGATGCATAGTATTTCAATCGTCCACTATAAAAGCATAATTCACAATATTTAGAAACATTTCCATGTCCAGTTATACTTGCACAAACTGTGTCACAGCAAACTGCCTCTCTGTAGATTAAATTAATTCCGTATAGTTTGTTACCTAGAAATTTTACATTACCTGATATTACATGAGGGTGTTGTTACTGGGAAATTCATTAGTGGAAGTTTTTGCAGAGGCTTGTTCAGCTGAAGCGTGAACACTGAATTGCATTTTGTCCTGTCTTTTTGACTCCTGCTTCAGACAGTCTGCACAATCTTCTGCAAACCATCTCTAGCTGTCATTTAGGCACTGTTAAATATTATAGTCAACTTATATAAATATCACTTACAACAAGTATACATTAAAAACTTTTAATACTGACATTTTCTAGTTTGAACACTTGAACTTGCAGAACCATATTTGCTGTGTAATCTACATTTAGCCTCTTGGGCACTACAGTGGGTTAGT